CATCCACCCGCCCCCGCCCCCGCCCCCGCCCCCGCCCCGCTTAGATTTCTTTTCTTTTTATTTTTTTTGGCTGAATTTTTTTATCATTTTATGTCTAACCTAGGTAGTTTTACTTAAGGAATTTTTACATTCCTATACCACATAGGAAACCTTTTCACCTTACATGTTTAAGGTTTGAGTAAATTACACTTAGTATACCAAATTACCAATCCTATACCATACTTAACTAAGGGTCTAATTAATGGGCTATTTTTACTCCTTAATTAAAGGTATCCATATCTAATTAATGGGCAATTTTTACTCCTTAATTAAAGGTATCCATATATCTCACGTTTCTCTCTCCTTACCCCTCACCCACGTTTTTACCCATACCCCACATTTCTTCATCCACGATTGCAAGATCAATCAACGAAAGATGTCCTTGAGATGCATTAGCCAGCGAAATCTCATTATATTTGAATGTCGTGCGAATTTCCTCTGCAACAATTGTGGCATGTGATCTGATTTTCTGAAAGTCTACATGAAATCAAAAGTTGCAACAAACATTTTAATACGCCACGAACTAGCAAAACGATGACAACAGATACACTTTAGTAGTTTTTTTTTGGGTACCAAACAAAATTCCCTCTTCTGGAAAAGTCAAAAATGAGAAATTTATTGGTAAAGAGACTAATATGAAAAGCTGCCGACAACTTCTCCAAACGACTTAGAAATACTAACTGTTGAAGCCCTCACTTAGATTTACTGTTTGTCGTGTATTTGCAGTGTAATTGCAGTGTAATTGTAGTGTAATTGTAGATTTAGTGTAATGGATATGATCTGTTAAAGCCCTCACCTAGATTTACTGTTTGTAGTGTAATTGTAGTTAGTTTATAGTTTATGTAGAACATTCCAAGATTATTTGTAGTCTAAAATGTAGATATAATGTAGACATGATTGTGGATGATGTGTTTCCTGTTTGCCCTATAACTGTAGGTAAATTGTAGTTATTCTTATATCAGGTACTTAAATTGTAGGTAATTTGTACATTCACTGTAGGTAAACTGTAGGTAAATTTGTTTGAATTGTAGAACTGGTTTTATACATAATTGTAGAGTTTTTGTAGTTAATAGTAGTTATAATGTAGGATTCATGTACCGCTTCACTCCATCTATCACAGTATGGATATGATCTGTTGAAGCCCTCACCTAGAATTACATAACAAACAACAATAAAAATATTTACAATCATAAAATAGTTTATCTACAATTTATTTACAACGTATCTACAATCTACAAATTAACTACAATTTGTCTACAAATTATATACAATCTACTATTTGATTTCACGATGTATTTGATTTCTACAATTTTTTCTGTAGTATCAATTGATACTTGTTCTGCAATTGTAGAAATCAGGATACTGTAGCTTGCATTCTCATCTACCACAATGGCATCAACTTCAAAATCTCTAAATCTGCCATAATTATCCCAATCCCCATTAAATTGTAGCATGATTGCGATTTTGGACATGATTTGTTGTTGATGTTGATGTTTTTTTTGGATTTCTAGATTGAAAGAAGAAAAGATGAAGAAGAGATATATCTGATCGATTATTTGATAGAAGCAACGACGAAGAACAAATTTTTTCAACTTTGAGTTGTTGAAACTCGAAAATTTTGAATTCTACAATTTGAATTCAGCTCGTCGAAACTCTTAGTAGTTGAATCTGTTCTTATTTTTAGGAGCTGTTCGTTCTTTTTTTTTTCTTTTCAGAATTTGAATTGTAGTTCTGGAGAAAAAAACGCAGATGAGAAATCTCCTTTCCCTTTTTAAAAATTGAATTTAATGTAGAATTAATTATCACCAAGATTCTTTCCTTAATTTTAGCACGTTTTTTAGGAAATATTCTGCTCCTTTAATGCCTAATAGTCGAATGGTACAAATTTTGTAGGTAAAATGTGGACTGGGCGGGTAATATACAAAATATGCACATTTTTAGTAATAAACTTTCATATATGGTATAGGAAGGAAAAAATTCCTCTTAATAATTAATTGTAGTTGTTTATGGGCTGAAAAGGATTGCTTAATCCATAGTGAGCCACTGCCGTCACACATGATAAATAATTTTTTTTATTTCATGGGTGGTGTCAAAGTCAAAAGAAAATGTTTATTACAAATTTAATGTTGTGTAGTATAATTAAAATACAAGAAGAATGATAGTTGTTGAATTTTCATGCTAGACATTTCTGTTTCTTTAATATACTTTAATTATTTTGAGAACGAGAAAAGCAATTCGAAAAGATAAAGAAGGAAAAAGCTGTAATATACGGGTAGTTTGTTGTTTTCTTTTGCCCTCTCATATTATGAAGAAGCAATTACTCCATATCGTGCTTTCTTTATGTCAATTGTAGTGATCCATTGTAGGACTGAGAGAATACATTACAGTTAATAAATTGATGTTTGAGAGTGAAGACCCGCAACCGCCCCGCAACCCGCCATAATATTTTTGAAAAACAAATCGCACCGCACCCGCATAAACCCAAACCCACCTCGCCCAGCATCAGTGGCGAATCCAGAATTTGAAGTTAATGGGTGCTCGATTGCCAAAGTCTATATCTAACACTAGTCACAAAATCATAGTCAAGGTATATTTTGGATTAATTTCGTCTAGTCAATTAAATTTTCTGTTCATAATCATCAAATCGATATGAGTTCAATTAAGGTTTTTTGACAAAGTTATATTCTATTCTATCTATATTACTTTGCTTTACTTTACTTTACTGCTATACATAAAGGAAAGCGAAGCACCTCTCGGTCGTCGTGTCTGCTTATGAAGAGGGCAATTCGTTCATTTCAATTAAATTATGTCTATTATTTGCTTGTTCTGTGTGCTTTAGTGCTTTATTGTGGACCACAAATGACTAAAAGTCAAGTCTGTCACACGCTTCTGGAGATATCTATGCCCCTAATGATGTATCTTATTACTTTAAATTCCATTGGTATAGTTGAAATTTAGTGAACTTTTCAGGCTTTTTAACCTTTCACTTCTGTACAAAATTGTGGGCCCATGACACTTTCCTTTCCACTTTTAATGTGTGAATACTTGTATTTCTCTCTCTGCATTAGCTTTTGTTTACCTTTTCTGTATTTCTATTTTTCTCTCTACATCTACACATCTTATGTCCATCTTTGCAATATTCTTCTGTACTTTGTAGTAGTATACTATGGAGTTCTCCTTTTAAAAAGTCTTTCTGATTTGTGATGCTATTTTTATCTTTAGGATAATCTCTGCTTGATTCATGGTTTTAATGGCTTTTATATTTAACAGTTGCACTTGATATCCGCAGACATGGCTACATATTATCTTTAATTCTTCACAGGAAGGAAATTAATTGAAAATATTTATATAAATAACTTTCCGCCAATTTCTAAAGTTGAAATCTCAAAATCAATTCCAAGTCAAAGTGATTTGGCGGCAAGGAAATTTCTCTACTATACAAATAAGAATTAATTAGTTTTATAAATTTTGGAAAAAATTGAGGTACAGTTAATCACTATTTAGTTTACAATAATATCGTTTTACTCTCTAACCCATATTTACGGCATATAATGAGACAAATAAATTATTAATAAGGATATTTTTTTTTAATTAGTTCCTCGGTTTGAGAAATTTTATTACCATACTTTAATTTTTTTTAAATTAAATTACTTTTAAAAATTTATAATACATAAAAAATGAAGTTCGATACATCAGAAATTAGGACATATGTAATTCTATTTTTCACGCAGATACTTTTTCTAGACCAATAAGATATGATAATTAGTGTTTTGGGAATTTTCAATAACATATTGCTTAATATTATACTTAAAGTCAGATTACCATAACTAAAATACAAAAAATAAGAACTCGGGTAACGTAGAGGGTAAAATTTCATGTTGCACCCAATTTTGCCCCGCCTATTGAATATGCATTCACTTTTTGAATTTTTTTTAACTGATACCCAAATTTTGGATAACTTCAACACATATAAACTTTTCTCTTCTTCTTTACTGTTGTTTTCTTCTTCTTTGTGCCTAGAGTTTCTTCTTCTTCTTCTTCTTCTTCTTCTTCTTCTTCTTCTTCTTCTTCTTCTTCTTCTTCTTTCTTCTTAGTTGCAAAGTGAGTTTGTTAAATTTATTGTCGTTGTTGACAATTTGATGATTAGGATTTGTTCTTTATGATATTTGAAAGCGATTTCAAATTTAAGCTCATTTGGAGTAGATTTTGCCATTGAATCGTGTACTGGATTATTGAAAATCGAAGAACAAATTTATGTTTCAGAACTTAAAATTCGATATCAGAATTTGCATTCAATAGATTGAACTACTTAAGATTCAAGTTACTGAAATTGCATTTGAAAGATAGAAGTACTTCATATTTGATTTCTGAAGTTGCATTGAAGAGATTGAAGCTCTTAAGATTCGAATTTCTGAAGTTGCATCCGAAAAATAGAAGAACTTCATATTTTATTTCTGAAGTTGCATTGAAGAGATTGAACTACTTCGGATCTGAGCGGGTATACTCTGAAATTTTTTGTGCAATGCAGGTATAACTTCAACGATGACCCCAAAAGTGGGTACATATGAAAATGCATCGCGTAGGAGACTCTGGGAGGATTGCTCATACAGTCAAATCCCTCTATAACAGTCTCATTTGTTTCGATATTTTTGTTATAGAGTACATATATTATGACATAACATCGATTATAACATATATTATAACATAAAAATTGATTCGGCAAAAATTTAGCTTTTATATTGAATGATTGTTAAATAAGGATACTGTTATAGAGATGTGTGACTGTATATAAATAATCATTGGGCCCGGGCTTAGCCCGGGCATAACATCACTAGTTCTATTCTATTCTATTCTATTCTTATTCTACTTATATAGAAGAGCGCAGAATCAGCTCTCTGTCGACATCCCTGCTTGCCGACGGAGGGCAATTGGGTATTTGCACTGTCCTATATTAGGTAAAATTCTTGTTGTATCCCTGCACCAACTGATTTCTGTTGTTCAGGGGAAGACTACTTAGGTAAATTTGCAATCCACTCCCACCGCTTAATTTTGCTCTGGTTTATCATAATATCATAATTTTGCTCTACTTCAGCCTCTTGTTTTCTGCAAAATTCGCCCATCTTCTCTTCTTACTCGCTTAACCCTTGTGATTTTTACCGTGCTTTTTTGCTTTCATAAATTGAATCCCAATTTCTGGAATATAAACTGATATTTTTGACAGTAAATTGACGTTTTGCTGAGTTTTTTGCAGTTTCACATTTGCTCACTAAGATGAAAGGTTAGTTTTAGTATTCTATTTCTTCTCCTTCATATGGGTGACTTTGATTATTTTGTTTCAGGGTTCTCTTGGTTTGTTGTTTGAATTTTTGTTGTTTGTGAAACTCAAAGAACAGCTTGAAAAGAAACTGGGGTTTCTGCCAATAATTTTCCATCTTTGTGTGTATTTGAAGTTATTGTCATTTTTAAATTGGGGATTTCAGAATAGATGAGCCTCTCATTTTCTTATATTTGAACCACAATTCTAAGTTTCATCTTGTTCATCCTGTTTCTTTCTCTGCATCATCTTCAGATTTTATTTTATCTCAAGTTTATCGATTTTGCTGCTACTTTCGACATCATCGGTCACTTGAAGCTCTTTGTGTAAGAAATCTGGGTCACTGACTTGAACGGTATTTCTTACTCTTACCACTCTGCTTTGTTCATAGGTTAACTTCTGGGTTCAATTGTTGCTAGATCTCAAATTTTTTTTTTCTTTCACAACTTTGCTTTCAATTAGCCTGCTATGTGTTTGTAAAATTGCCAACAACATTTACTTACCCATCTCAAGGTAAATATTTTTTAGTTTGATTAAGTCCATTTGAGTATA